TTGCAGATAAAATAGAGGTAGATTTGGAAAATTTCGAATTATTTGTTCATCATGTTATATAAATAGCACGTTCAAATCGCTAACGAGGTCATAATTACAGTTCTATCAGTCAGCACTTTAACACACTGACCATGCTCAATTTGCAAGGTGCAGCCACGATATAGGTATTATTTGTAAATGTTCGGCGTGTTGTTGATGTAGGTAAATCTAAGTTTTTTTTTATTGGGAAACTCAAACTATTGATAACCTCGATTGCGCCAAACAAAACGTGAACAAATATCTTTTCAAGCATCAATTAGGTCAACTCGCTTGTAACAGTTATAGGAAAAATTGCACGGGAGGCATAAGTTAGATGCATACCATCACATTCACTGATGAGCGAAGAAAAGGTAGGACCCTCAACTACCAGAGTCCGAGTAACTCAGTGTCTGGGGTCCGGACACTGTTTGTAATTTTTTTGCACACTAGAAGATTGAAGATTGAGAAATATAAGGTCAATAGAGGAAAGAAATTGCTTAGTATAAACTTTGAATATTAGGAAGATTGTTGAGGAAATTTTGTTCATGAGAAATGAAAAGGTGTTTTTTTTTGGAAAATAGAAATTGGTACTAGAAAAGACCGCAAAGTGTGAAGAGTACTTGCTGAAATTGCCCTATAACTATTCCTTTTCTAAGAACTTTGAAGACATGCATTATTGGAAGTAATAGCTACTATAACAATCAATCTATATGCATATACATCATATATCTTTGGGTAAAGAAATCAGAAATATAGTGAATAAGTCGTTACGGTGAAACTTATGAAAGCTGCGCACTTGTCAGCTGCATTTTCCATACGATTTTGAGCAGTATGATATACGAGGGATTTTGACGTAAAAAGACGACTCTAGCTCCTCAACTTGGAAGTGTGTGCACGAAAAGGAAGAACAACGAAGAAAATGAGTGAAGAAGTTTCAAAGAAAGCGTTGTGCCATTTTTGCTAGATTTTCTATTGATTCCACCGATTTTTTGTTGAACCAAAAAAAAATTGCTAACTTCCTCCTAATGGTATGTCAAAAACCACCAACACTTTTTTCAAGGGTCTTGAGTTAAATTATTAACACTTTTTGCCTTGTCTCTGGAGTATCGAGCCTATGTTGGGTGTTTTAATAAGGGAAGGATACTTTGTCGAAGTGGCGATTCAAAGAATGATGCATACTGGAAGATGCAGTTTCAGAGGCTGATTTCAAATCTGCCTTCTAGACCTGCAAAGCGTTTTTCTGGAAGAAGTTATGGAAGTTTTTCTATAAATTTTCTTGTGCACCTCGCTAATAACCGCTCTACAACATCAAATCCATCCAGGAACAACAAGCAAATGGTTTAAATTTATTATGAAGACATGTTTTTTTAAAATCTATCAGCAATCGCACTGCTGTTTTTAGTCGAGTTTTAATTTTTGAGCATTTTAATCCAGGCTCTGTAAGCCATTTTTGATTAGATGCAGTCAGCATTTCAAACTGCATCTAACATATACCTTCTTTTTGAATCGCCACTTCGACCAAGTATCCTATCCTTCCCTTGTAAGGA